TGTTGCTCTCTCTCCCCTCTCTTTCCTCTCTCTCTCTCTCTCTCTCTCTCTCTCTCTCTCTCTCTCTCGCTCTCATCTTTTTTTATTCTCCCTTTCTCTGTCTGCGGCATTTAATTTTTCACCTTTCTCATAATCCATCTGAAAATCCCTCGCTTTGTAGTAGTAGCTAGTCTGACAAACCAATACGACAACAGTGAGCTTGATCCTCACTGGGTGCCCCAGTTATTACTTTCTAAGTGAAATTAATAAAGGCATTTAGACGTCTCAAGAAAAGTGCAATTGTTATATAGCCTGTTTCGTGGTCATTACTACGGTAGGGGGGAACTAATTCCGTCTAGATGCTCCGCACTTGAAGCCTTGGGTCAAACTAAACTAAGATTAATAATACTATTTTTTTTTCTGTCTTTAAATTTTCTCTTATCTTTCACTCGTTCTATAATTCTCTCTCTCTCTCTCTCTCTCTCTCTCTCTCTCTCTCTCTCTCTCTCTCTCTCTCTCATTCTTTCCTACCTTCAAAAGAAAGAAAGAAAGAAAAATGCGGAGGGAGCGAAAAAAGGAGAAAACTAAATTTATCATATTACAAAGTCTAAATAACGATTCCATATTTGGCTAACCTATAGAGCGTGACAAGTTCAAAATCTTTTCTTTTATCTCTAATCTCATTCTCTAATCCCTAATATCTCTTTTAATCTGATTTCTCTTTCCCTCTTTTTGGCTTCCATTATATTTCTCTCTAATTCTCTTATACCTCCCTCCTTCTTTCATCTACCCCTCTCCTACGTATTCTATAGTTTCTGTCTTCGACCTCTATTCTTTTCTCTTCTTTTCTCTCTCGGTCACTCTTTGATTTCCTCGTATAACTCCAAGTGCTTCCTGTCTCTTTTTTTTTACCCATTACATACATTTCTCTCTCTCTCTCTCTCTCTCTCTCTCTCTCTCTCTCTCTCTCTCTCACACACACACACACACACACACACACACACACACAAACACACACACACACAAACACACACAAACACACATACACACATAAACACACATACACATACACACACAAACACACACACACATACACACACAAACACACACACACACAAACACACATTCACATACACACAAACACACACACACAAACACACACACACACACACAAACACACACACATACACACACACACAAACACACACACACATACAAACACACACACACACACACACACACACACAGTGATTCTTCCAGCTTCTTACCGATTTTTCATTACTTCTATCCGGTCATATGTTCCTATGTCTTTTCCTCTATCTCTCGCCGTTTTGTTCCACTGTCTCTCTCCATTATTCTGTTTCTCATTTCTCTTTTTATTCCCTTTATTTTCAACTATTTCTTTCTTAATTTCTTCATCTTTTTCAACATCTTCTGATCTTTTATCTCTTACTCTCTTTCTTCTTTAACATTGTCTCTCTCCCTCTCTCTTACTTACTTTCTCTCACTTTCTCTCTCTCTCTCTCTCTTTCTGATTTACTCGTATCTGTATTTATTTTATTCTCTTTTACCAATTTGTTTCTCTCTCTTTCCCACTCTCTTTCTCTCTCTCTTTCACACACACACACAAACACGCAAACACACATCTCTAGGCAATGTGCCTCTTCTTCTCCATCTATCTTCTTTCTATTCCAGTCTAATTATTTCCTATATTCCTTTATCTCTCAGTCTCATTCTCTCTTTCTCTTTTACAAATTTTCTCTCTCTCTCTCTCTCTCTCTCATGTATTTCCACTTCTCTCTCCGACATCTTTCTCTTCCATTCCAATTCCTTCCTTGCTTCCTCTCTTTCTGTCTTTCTGTCACTCTCTTTGTTTCTTTCTCTCTCTCTCTCTTTCTCTGTCTCTCTCACTCTCGTTTTCCCTTCCTCTTCTCTTTCTGCCTACGTTCGAGTATCAAGTTGATATAAATATTTATTCATTTCTCACTTCCGCCCTCTGTAAACCTCTGAACTCGCGATTTCAAATCACACAACAAACAAGTACACTTCAAGCTTCGTTTTCACTAATCCAAAGCGAATTCTCTTCCAACTACGACGGCCATTTTTTTTCTAATTCCAACAAACCACTATTTATCTAGATGCCAATCTTTTTACACAAGGGATTTACATCCGACAAACAACGAAAGCAGACTGCTGAAGGAGGATCACAAGTTTATAAAAATGGTTGCAACTCGATACGCACCGAAAATAGAAATTATTTCCCTATTTCTCATTTATTTCGACTAGAGACTTTTACAAATGCAGAGAAAATAAATAAATAAATTGCAAACGTAACTCCGATAAACACTTTTGCTAGCAATCTATATTTAGTCACAAAAGTAATAAGTTTCGATTTCGTTTTTTTTTTTTTTTTTTCGCATAGACAATTGTTTTTATATGTTCATAAAATACGTATAAAAATTGCTATATACGTTGTTTTACAATGACACTGAATGAAAGAGGAAAAAAAAGGAATATGGAAAGAAGTTCATTAAGGGTACATGTTATATCGCAAAATATGGAGGAAAACTTTAATTATTATTATTAATAATAATAATAATAATAATTTAAGATTTCCACTTCAAGCTCTTCAGTTCCTGCAGATTGTAATGTATCGTTGAATATCTTAAAAAACTATCAAAATTCAAGAATCTCGAGAGCAACTCTCTGCGACTTCTCTGTCTCACGTTGACTGCTGACCTGAGATGGAATAAATACATCGAGTCAATTGCCTCGTCCACTGCGAGGAAAGTTGGCTCCTGAGCCGCGCTAGGAAGTTTTTCTCCCCTGAGTCGATCCTCCAGATATACAAATCCACAATTCGCCCTTGCATGGAGTATTGCTGCCATATATGGTCTGGCGCCCCTTCTGTTTGCCTCGAGGTTCTTGATAGGCTCCAGAAGCGGATATGCAATATGGTTGGCCCTGCCCTGGCGTCTCGTCTACAGTCACCGTCGCCTCCCTCTGTCTGTTCTACAAATACTTTCATGGAAATTGCTCCGAGGAGCTGCATTCGCTGGTTCCCAGACTTCATGAGTTCAAGTGCCCTACGAGGCTGGCATCCCGCTCTCACCCCTTCACTGTCGAAACTCATAAATGTAGCCGTCTCTTCTACTCTAATAGCTTCATGTCTCGCACCTCTCGCCTATGGAACTCTCTTCCCTTCTCCTGTTTCCCTGAGAGTTATAATCTCCAGCTATTCAAGTGTAATGTCAATCGACATCTCCAGTTGCCTTAATCTATCTACTACCCTCATCCTTTCATCTATCACTCCTATCTGATCTTCCTATTTTCTGTAACCCCTTGCGTCCTAGTGGCTTCCCGCCTTGCTTGGGGTGAAATGCTTAAAAAAAAAGTGGAAATGTCAAAAAATGTGGCACATGAGGACATCAATAATTCCATTTGTAGTTGGAGTCCTCGGATTGATTAGAAAAGGATCCGATAGATTCATTGAAGGGGTTCTTAATAGTCCATGCCTTAAAGAAATACAAAAAATTGTACTCCTCAGTACAGCTCACACATTACCTCGCAAGATGCCTGGGAGCTACTGACATCATTAACGGTGCATAGTGGGCTGTGATGCGTTGAATAGTTCATGCTCTGGGGAAAGGGCCTTTCCCCTAAGATACGAATAGGAGCTGAGAGATGACCCTCATTACTCGGCCGAAACCTCTAAGAGTCAGTTTACCATATTTGCCTAACAGAAATACAGGAATCCCATTCAAATTCAAATATTTTCTAATAATGTTTTAGCATGCAAGTACTTCCCTTGTAATATTCTTTTATTTCAAGTAGGTAAAATAGACTTCCCTGTCGATTTTAATGCATGAGGGCACAACAATTCCTTTTAGAACTTAATCCCTAAACCACTCAAACTGCGATAGATAGATATATAGATAGTTAATGCTAATTTGCATATGGTCAGCTACTCTTGTTTTCCTAGCACACCCGAATTGGCTAACACGCCTAGCCAATCCCCGTCGCAAACACTTGCTATTTTGCGCTTGTTTCACACGCACGGACCCCAACTATGAGAGAGAGTGCGCTGTGGAGACCAGTTTGACCAATAGCCAGTACGCTCGATCCCTTGGACGCTAGCAGAACCATCGACACCTTCCGAATAGCTTTTACTGAATTTCACTCATAATGCTTGGTACAACACGTGGCATGGACTTCAGATACTTTCCAAAGACGCCACGCGTTCGGATCGGTTCCTCAGACCGATAACATCAAAAAGTCGCCTGAAAATTCGACCATGGTATGATTCGAACCAGGGTGGCATGACCGGAAACAAACGTTCTAACCACTCGGCCACGCATACACAGCTTACTGAACAACCGATACTAAGGCCTCATTGTTGGATTTAACTCGTAGCTGAGACAGTTGCTCACTATGCACCGCTAGGCGTTGGTGTTCGAGATCCGATAAAAGCCAGAATTTCGAGCGCTGGATTTGTAAAACAAGAAGGCTTTCTCCATTGAAAATACTGAAAATTTGACATTGTGCCAAAGCAAATTAAATTTCGCATCGTAAAGAGATTTAACCTGGGTATTGCGACTTCGAATGAGACAAAGGAATCCCTTCTAAAATTTAGACTACCATTTCAAATTCTCGTAGACAAAAAGACGAAATAAAATCTCAAGAAAAACCTATACTGCGTGGTTATTTCTATGATCTAAGGGGTCTTGGGATATCATACAATTTAGCAGATGCTATGTCATGAGCAAGGGATTGATTTCTTGTGTCGAAATCTTCAACAATGGCAATGAGCATAGGACTACATAATCCCAATAAGAAGAAATGGTTTATGAAGTGAGTATAGACAAACTATTTGAAAAATTGCCAAGATGCCACGCTTAGCTCTTCATCCTGTGTCTAGCGGGAAGAGAGCTAATTGAAATCCTTATCATACGATGACTACACAGAAATAGAAAGTGGAAGATATAGAAATGTGAATAGATGATGGCAAAACATGGATTTGATTAGGATGCAAAGATGGAAAGAAGGATGTGAACTGATAGATATGAACAGACTCGGATAGATAGATAGATAGATAGATAGATAGATAGATAGATAGATAATCTGTATTTATCTATATGAATATGCTTAGACATAAAGAAAAAGAAAGAAAGCAAAAGTTACAAAAATGGGATACAAGAATGACGAACATAGAAAGATTTGAACAGACCAAGATAGATAGATAGATAGATAGATAGATAGATAGATAGATAGATATGGACAAACTGATAGATAGATAGATAGATAGATAGATAGATAGATAGATAGATAGATAGATATGGACAAACTGATAGATAGATAGATAGATAGATAGATAGATAGATAGATAGGAACAATCTAATATAGATGGATATTAAGAGGCTGAGATAGATAGATAGATAGATAGATAGATAGATAGATAGATAGATAGATAGATAGATATGGACAAACTGATAGATAGATAGATAGATAGATAGATAGATACGAACAGCAAATAATAGGAATTTATCTTATGACATTCTCTATACCTTTATTAACTTATCTTCTATATGAATGGTTATACACATTAAGTGTTTTGGTTTCTACAGTTTTACACTTTTAACCAATCAACCATACTGATAATTATATACCTGTATGTGTGTGTATAATTTATATTTAGGTAGCAAAAATTCATTCATTCATATATAAATATATATATATGAGTGTGTGTGTGCGTGCGCGCGCGCACTTCTGTAAGCAAATATCACCCGAAAAGTTTTTCAAAGCCGTTTATGTGTGTTCGCGCATGTCGGAAATACGGTCGTTGTCGTGGGCGTTAACTCTATTACCCTTCCTTGCTATCACAGATTTATTGAAACAAATCTCAGTCGACCTATCCTAATAATCACTTTAGTGTGAAGCCCATCTATTGTCGACAATATTTATGTTCGGCTTATGTATCCCCACGCAGCTTTGATGTCTGTAGAAATTGCATACATAAAGTGGTTGATATAAACTCTTATTTCAACACCAAATACAATTTATTTGATCATTGTTACTCGAACGACACGGACGGTGAGTGATGCTTTATAAATTAATCTCGAACAATATTTTATTAAATTCCCACTGAGCGCTCAATATTGTTGTCTTGTGCCTGACAAAACTAAGTTGAATGAATATCAGTGTTAGCAGTAGAACAATAGTTTTTTTTTCTCTTGACTCAGGAAAAGAAAGTTCATGACTTTCTACAACTTCCTGTCTTTTGTTGATCTAAGTATTTTTTTTTTTTTTTACCATACCATTTTGTCCTTTCTTTATAAATATCATTATTTACAATATTTACACAGGTTCGATACCTGTCGCTTCACTGATAGCAAGATGAGCAAATGTCAACTTTAAACAATTTGTGCATTTAAAATACTACATTTATTAGAAAATATATTCACTTCAAATACATAATGAGTCAAAAAAATGCCTTCAAATTCCACAAATTTTGACTGAAACCTTTTTCCTGTTACCTCGGTTCTGTTTCCAGATTGAAAGGAAAAATTATCCTCGCAACACATAAATTCATTTCGATTTCATTCAATCTCTGTGTATCTACGCCTGGGTGTGCGCAGGAATATCTTAATCCAATGACTGTAAAAAAGTTTCGGCAAACTTTAATCTTCGTAGCCGCAAAAAAACAGTGTGTCAAAATGGCGGTTTTTGTTTTCACACCGCTATTATTGTATACTCCTCAGCGGCTTCTTTGTTTTAAAAAGCCATTTTTAGAATTTTAATAACCAAAATCTTATAAACAATTTACGAAAAGTAGACGTTGCCAAAGTATTTTTACGTCTGTCACTGAATGTATTTAAGAACACACTTTTTTTACGAGCTAGACGGTTAAACTTTACCAAAATATTTGAACGTTTGTAATTGAATGTGTTTAAGAGAAAACACATCTCTTGTCACACCATATCATCAATTCGCTGAAACTCGTTACTCAGTTTCTCCATGCTTATCTTGCTTTCATTGTGTTCTGTGAGTGTTAAATTTTCCAGGCCCTCTTTCCTAACTGTGTGTTCCAGATATTTCGGCTTTTGATGTTTTGTCTGTCGAAAAGGTATTGTAGAGTGGAAAATGTATTTTAAAAAAAAACTTCTCCAGATTAGTTGGTTGATTTGGGAATTATTTAAAGCAGAAACATATTTCAAGTTGCAACAGGCCTTTTCCAACACCCGGGATTCACAAGCTGTCACCCATCTAAATACTGATACGGATCAACACTGCTTAACTTCGGTGATCGAACGGATCTTTGACGTAGCTGGAATGAAAGTTTTGTTTTTTTTTTCTCCTAGAATAGGTGTGTTATAAATCAAACTTTTAGATATCAGTTTAGAAACGTCTTCTTCTAAGTGTTCCAAGAAATAGGACTCAAGACAAAACATTCCAATACAAAAACTATGATCTGGATTTGGTATAAAATTGGTTATTGTACATAAAACTCGTGTTATGTTCTTAAATAGCCACGTCAGATCGAAACACTCATATGGATGTCATGCATAGCGTCAATCTTGTTCAGAAATATCTAAACAGTTATCTCTATACAACCGCTATACAAAGATCCTATCATCCTTATAACTTTCGTATTCCATTAGTAAGGAAGAGGTTGCACTAAGACAGCTTTTTCCCCCAGAACTGCTGCTTTTTGAAACAGGTTCTGGGCAAGATGTCTTTACACTCACTCTAAACTTGAATAGTTCAAGTCTAGCCATGACCATTATCTTTCATGAACTTCACTTCTTGCCTTTTCTTACGCTCATACAACACCACATAGTAGAACTCTTGGGCCTTGTATTGAGTGAGCATTAAACATTTTCACTGTTGCATTGTTATAGCATTGTTACATGCCTCTACTGGTCTGTTTCGGGGAAAAACCAGAAAATTGTCAAATTACTGTAAGGACGCTGACAATTATTTCTCTTGAACACTGCCATTTTGGTTTCATTAGGATTTTTAGATTGTAAGATGTTTTGGAGATAATAATGATCTGTTGATATGTCCTACTAATTGACCCATTGTTAAGGAAAGAAGAAGTGGTTTTATAACTTACCGACAGATATTTGCACGTAATTAAATATAATGAACCCCTATTGGAATTAAATTTTGGGTCTCCGATTACCAATTCTGAGCCATTATCCATGACACCTCCTGTACATCAAAACTTACAGAACTTGGCATTCCTAAGCGGTCACAACTCTTGGTGCTGACAAGGCGCGCCGTTGTTTAACTTCAGTATTCGTACGAAGTGCATCAACGTGGTATCGTCGTAAACTTAACAATACAAATTATGCTAAACGACGCCCTAACAAAATATAGTCAAAATAGAACACAGAAACAGTCGTATCGTACATCATTATATGTAACATTTAAGATGAATATATCTAAGTTATCCGTTGCTTGTGAGTACAAAAATCACTTTTATATATATTTCAATGACTGGGAAAATTCTCAAAACACTAAAAACCCATTGTTAGTGCAATTATTGTTAGCGCATTATTCTTTTTTGTGGCTTTATCGTAAATAAAGTGTGGAGTTACCCCACTTGCTTTCCTAACAAAAACAAACGCCACTAGAGGACGAATTCTGCACCTATACATACACTGTAATATTTTCTGTTATTCTTTTTCTCCTATTTCATCCAGGGACAGGTAGATGTAGGTCGAATGTGGGAGAATAGGGTGTGTGCGACAGCTCTTTTTTCTATTTTCCTAAGACACACTTGGATGTAGATCTATCGCGAAGACGCACACACACACACGTACGTACGCAACTTAATTATTCTTCCTTTTCTCTGGGACTTCTACACACGTTTTACATACGCAAACAATTCACTATCAGTGTAACCCGGATATAAGAGTCCCGGATATAAGAGAAACCTGGATATATGAGAGATTTTCTCTGGTCCCAAATTAGAGCCTGTGTTACCTAAACAAAATAGATCAAATCCGGATATAAGAGAAACCCGGATGTAAGAGACTTCTTCTCCGGTCCCGACAACTCTCTTATATCCGGGTCACACTGTATTTTCAATGTTTTCATGCATGTTCATTGTCTTGTCACATACATACAACATCATATTTTTTTGTTTCGTTTTTTATTTATTTATTGTCGCTCGCGACAATGTAACATTTGTTCTTGTTAATAATACATTATTGTTTGTTTGCAAATATATTAGTTTTAGTTGTTTCATTGTATTTTATTACCCGAACACACATGCAAGTCCGCCATTTTTTGTTGTGGGACAAATATTCCAGAAGAGATGTGTTTTCAACCTAAACACTCGACCAGCATACTACTCCCTAAACAAAAATTTCTAATTTTTATGACGTTTGAGCGTTGTCGTCTGTTTCCTTCGTTCTCTTATTTACATTTAATGTTACCATTCATATCAAACTTGTTGTCACTTGTTCCCGAAACGGAAGAAATTTCACGATAATTACTCTACCAAATTGCCCCCTTTATTTGGTTGTTTCTAGAAGTATGGTCATGTACTTATCATAATCCACGTTTTCATAATGCGAAAGAACGCTTGCAAACGTATATATACGTCGACAGCACACAATGTAAGTTTCGCAACGACGTATAAGTACGTTTTACAGCAGCGGAAGTGTTCACTTTAAATTTTAGTAACGTAGTTATGGTTAATAAGTTTGTCCTGGATTTATTATTATTATATTTTTTTTATTATTATTTCAGTTAGGTCGCTAAGTGCACGTTTTCACAGTCTCCATCCGTCTCCTCTTCGCCTCTCACAAAGCTGTTTATCGATGCGAAGAGGAAAAAAGAAAAAGATTCTCAAACACACACACAAACGTACATTTATGCGAGAGAGATGATGATGCAGGGTGGATATGTACCCGATTAAATCTCTGTGAGGTTTTCATCTGACTGAACGTACGAGAGAACGAGGTTGACAATTCTCGGTAAGTCTTCCGTGCGGTAAGTGCAAACGCCAAATTCTCCCGTGGATAAACACCGCCGACGGCACCCTAAATAACTGGATGCTGCCTGCGGGCAGGGCTTTCATCACCCGGAACTGACAGAAAATAAGACGAGACGACCCACGAGATTTTCGTCAGTCTGATTTATACTCTTGGTAATTTATTACAAATGTATGGATACGCAAATCCACACACATACACACACACACATACGTACACACACACTTATATATATATATATATATATATATATATATATATATATATATCTTACTTATTATAAAACGCAGATTGTGTGTGTGTGTGTGTGTGTGTGTGTGTGTACGTTTATATATTGGATTGGATTTCCTACATTTTTTAACCGATTTCAACAAAACTTCACAGGACTACGTAAAATTACCTTGCGGTGGTTCTAACAGTGCCAAAAATTGGAAAACACAATTGTTTTTGCACGAAATCAATTTGAAAACACGATTAAGAGGCATCACGAGAATGGAAGGGGACAACTCATATCGAGTTATACTTATTATAAAACCCAGGTTGTTTGTGTGTGTTCGTTTATATATGGGATCGGATTTCCTACATTTTTCAACCGATTTCAACAAAACTTCACTTTTTTTTTTCGCAGGTAGTGTTTCGTATTGTCTTGCACACTTTTTCCTTTATTTTTACATACAGAATGCTTTAAAAATTCAATTTACAAGACAATTGTTTATAATAAAATTCTATTCAATCGGTAGACTCATAACGATTGAAAACAATGTTTTTGTTTGAGTTTGGGTTTGACCCATTCGTAAAAAATTAAAAAAAATAATAATAATTAAGACATGCGTGTCCGTCAACCTTAAACAATAATCTTTGTCAATTTTATTTTTCAGTCTTTATGATGGTCGATACTTGAACTATCTCTTACCGTTACATCCCCGGGCTCTACTATATATATATATATATATATATATATATATATATATATATATATATATATATGAAATCGCGGATCTGAGTATGTTGTCACACAATAGGCTTTATATTTGAGTATCCTACAAAAAGAAAGATAACTGAAACTAGATACATATAAATGTGTATGTGCGTGCATGCCTGCGTTCATGCGTGTCTGCGTGAGTGTACATGTGTGTGAGTGTCCGTGTGTGTGCGAATGCGCGTGCGTGCTTCAGTATGTAAATTTAAATAAATATGTCTGAGTGGGATATATTTTGTACATGTATATATGTATGTTAATGTACACATTTATATATATATTTAAATGTGTACATTAACATACATATATATGTATGTATGTATACAGAACATATATACATATATCTATAAATATTCTGTAAACAAAATTCTCCGATTACAAATTCCATTACCGCACCTTGTATTCCCAAGCTGTCACCCATCTAGCTACTGGCCAAGCTCTACGTTGCATAACTTCGGTCTTCGCGTTGAACCGGTGTTTCAACATTTTTTAAAGGATTTCCCTCCAAGCAAGGCGGGAATGCCACGAGCACCCAAGGGTTTACAGAGAGTGAAAGCAAGAGTAAAGAGGGGGGTGTTTGAGGAAAGGTTAAAGATAAGGACAGAGATCAAGGTCAAGGCATCAGAAAATGTCGATTGACATTACATTTGAGTATTTGAAGATTATATATTTATATATATATATAAATATATATATATATGATAAAATATAGTTTTAAGGTATGTTATATTTATGGGTTAAACTGATAATATCCGGATATACGAAAACAAATATACCGATACGATTGCGTAAAAGCATGAAACAGACTGGATGTTTACTTCAATGTTTATTTTATATATATATATATATATATGTGTGTGTGTGTGTGTGTGTGTGTGTGTGTGTGTGTGCACAGAGCCTGCGATGGATAAATTGGCGTTTAAATTACATTACGCAAAATATTTATTCAATAAAATAGCCATTGGCTCCAATCACGGCCCTGTTGCCATAATCCTTGTCTTCAGTTCATATTTGGTGTTTTCTTGGTCTCCTAATCAACTGCGCCCCACACACAATATTCAAGGAGGTTGCAGTCTGGGTATTTACGTAGCCAAATGTAAAGGATGATGTGAAATTGTCTGATAGCCATGACTGGGTTGAGACCTGCGCTAAATTCAAAATTAACCTAAAAAATGGGAATTTTGATCATAGTAACATATGGTCGGACACAGAATCCTAGACAAGATCATAAGTGGTAGACAAGAAATTGATACACACTATAAGCTAGTGACAACATTGTATCATAATTATGAAACAAATGTAACTTTTTTTATAAGAAGCTCAAGACAGGAGTAGAAAGATAATCAAACATACAGCTAATTGTAAAAAAGATTTTGTAGTTGATAATTAAAAGCCTTTTTAAGAAACCAGTGAATAGAACTTAAGTGTTTAAAAATAAAAAGTGTGTAACATAAAATGTTAATAATGCCGACTAAAAGGCAATACACAGCAATATTAAATCTAAATAAACAAAATAAAATAATCATTCATAGAAGGTGCACCGCAATTTGCTTACTAATGACGATATGAAATAGTACTACCAAATTCAAAGTTTATCCATATTGTAATATATATATATATATATATATATATATATATATATATATATATATATATATATTGAACAATAAGAAAATAAAAATTAAAAATTAAAATCATTAGACACACTGGGTTGTAGAATATATATATATATATAATTAAATTATATTTATGCTCTACTTTTGTATCGAGCACTATTTTTTAAAAATAATAACAAAAATACTAAAGAACTTTGGATTATTTACTTAACCAGTTCTTTTCCTATTTTCTATATATTTTCACACACACACACACACACGCATATATATATATATATATATATATATATATATATCAGTCACTTTGTTCTCCTTAATGTTGGTGTTGCCTAGGATCCAACAAAGCTTGATCTTTCATACCTTACATATGGAGGCCTATTTAACAAAATATTTAAAAATTAAAAGCTTTCCTGTAGTTTGTGTTGTTTTCTGGGATACTAGCGCAGATAAGTAATATGAGAAGATAATAAATATTTCCAAGTTGTTGTCTAAAACGATGTTAAGTGCCAAATCTATTGTACAAGTTTCAGCATTAAAAATGAATGCGTCTTTTGGAAGGCGTTTGCTAGCTACTATTTTATTGAAAACAGCTGCGCGTCCAGTTCGCTTGTCTTTTGGCGCCATTTGTAAAAAGGTAATTGTGCTTGGGATAATGCTCCTTGATTTGGTTTTTCTTGGTGAGTAACAGGATGAACTTTTGTTTTTGAGCCTTTACTTAGGTCTAGGATTACTACGCATTGATTTATGGTCTAAGGGAGAGTATATGTTAGAATGGTATCAAGTATGGTAGTAAGCAGAAAGGTCCCACTCAAAGGTCCAAAGGCCTTATTGTATTTTCAATTTTTGTTAAGCTTTTATTTTGAATTAATCATCATCATCATCATCATCATCATCATCATCATCATCATCATCATCAGTCCCATGACCGGGCGTGGTCATAGTGTCGCTTCCAAGAGAAAATAACGATATCATTAAGTTGTTGGCATTCTACACTACTTCAAACAAAAGTTTAGGGAGGAAACCTCCATCAAAATTGAAAGGAGCAATAACAGCTACTGGACTTGAGAAACCTATTTTCCTGAAAAATTGTTTTAAGATTTTATAAATTTCAACCGAAAGAATCAGTAACAGTTGAATGTTTCCTTATAAGGAAAGAGTTAATATTTCAATTACGTTTACTATGTATACTGGAAAAATAGAGTTTAGTGGTTGAAAATTTTCTCTATCCAACACTAGTATTGCTCACCCTGTATCAGTTGTAGTCGCTTTTAACATAAATAGGAGGTATTATTTTGGTGTTGGGGTGCGTCCTCTTTTCCACGTCGATTTATCTTCCAAAGACAAAGGATTTACCAGTCATGTCCATTTTATAAAATTTCACTTTGGTAAGTTTTTAAGATTTTCTAACAAACCTCTCGCTTTTTTTTTTTTTTTTTTTTGTCTAGAAACTTCAAGGTAGTCTTCTACTATTGGGTTGCATGCGAATAGCACGCTCAATATGTCTGCTTAATAAAATTCAAGGGATCTATTATAGATTACGCTGGTCTAGTTTCAAACTCATTTCGATAAAAAAAATGAAGAAAGAACGAATGGTCAGCTATTGTAAGAACTAGAACATCTTTATCCCGTGTCAGCTCTTAAAGCGGGTGCTTTTGTGACCAGAATTTTCGAAAACTAAAATTTACGTATCGAAGACAATCAAGCTAGGTTTCAATGTTTTTACTGAGGATCTAAATAGGAATTCGACTGATCGTTTTCTCGTTGCTTTATTATTATTATTATTATTATAAACATGTTTCATCAAAATCCAATAAAAAATTAGAGACTTGGAGATCATTCTGTAATATCTCATGAATCAGAGTAAATAGGTCTTCGGCAGAACTTCTTACCAATTGAATACGAAGTGAATAAGAATGATTCGATCCTGTGTATGCGACATAGCGGTTCCGAGCTGTAATAATCTGGACTGGTGAAACTAAGAAATGTAGCTCGTCTGATCTTTCTCCTTCTCCTTCTCTCTCCATTCTAATGTTTGTGTATGTGAAAACTTCAGGATATGGACGAACATAGTTCTCCACAGCATCCTGTCTCTTATTGCTCTCATAAATATTTGCTTTGTAGTAATTGTTTCTCCGTCTATATTTATATAATATATAAGATCCATCGCTAAAGATGCTCGGAAAATGATCAGTTCCTTGTGCCACTCTAGAAAATAGCTGACTCTTCATGCTCTAAAATTACCAAAGTTAGATCAGACCATATCAGGGATGGTGCTGACCCATCCTCAGTTTCCAACTTTGCGTTCATGCAGTCTTGTAAGCGATAAACCATTTCAAACCCTTAGACGCAAAGTCTATCACTAATCTATCGCTATTTCCAAGTAGTCAGATGTGCTACATTCCTTAGTTTCAACAATCTAGACCATTATAGCTAAAACTCGCCATGCCATATACGCAGGGTCGACTCATGCTAATTCCGTGCGTATTTAATT